TGACCATCCAACCTGTCAACCTGCTAGTTAGTATCCATGCCTCTCTGAAGCTGTACATTGCTTCAGACCACACTCCTCTGTCCTTCTCCCTCTTTGAGAGAGGGCCATTCTGCACTACAGCCAGACAGCTCGTCCATGCTCTGGCCATGCACTATGCTGCGGGAGCCCTCTTCCGAGCAGGTAGGTAGCAGACAGGACTAAGTTATAAAGCTTCTCTTACCCTCAAACACCTGTATTCGCACTAGATGATGCACTTTTTTCCTACATTCTCTTTATGATGGGCTTGGTGTCACAATTTGTGGTGTCGGTTGCCAAATAAAATGTGAATTCAGCATGAAGTAAGAAAATTCTGCCATTTCTTCTCAGCACAGCTACAGTTGATCTTTCAAATGATACACCCCAGGGCTGCTGGAAAACTGTCGAGCTCCAGGAAGCAAAACCTGAATCACCAGTGGCCTGAGAACGACTTGTGTTCTGTCATTGTCATTATTCAGTGGTGTATCATAAGTTTTGACCAATAACTCACGGTTCACACCCAGTTTGTTGGCAGTATGTTTTGGTTAATCCTTTAGCGGTCACCGTGTCTAAGGCTGACTTATCAGGCCCCGTAAGAGCTCCATACCTCTCTCCTGTGCTGTCCTCCTGTCTAGTCAAAGCCTCCACACATGGTCTGATTTAAGCCAGTCATTTCCACATCAGAAATCACCATTCTGGCCAGACGCTTCCTTCCCACTGTCTCTCGTTAGAACCTTCATTTCTGCTCGTATTTCAACACGTCACCCTACCGCCTTCTCCTCTTCCTGAGTCATCATAAAGACCCAGGCTCCAGGAAACATTGCATTCTGGGACTGATTAACATGAGGATGTGCAGCGCTATGATCAGACATGCGCCCACATGTGTAAATCCGTGCACATACAAAGCCTTATGGACAATAAGGACTATCTTTGCATACACTCTAGCACGCGTGTGTTTAAAGGCATGACTCAGGCCTGTAAACATCAGCTCCTGTCAGGACTTTATGCTTTACCAAAACCACAACTGGGAAACCATATAAAGCCGAATCAACCACGAGGCCCCACTAGAGTAGGTTTCCTACCATTAGAGTCCATCATTCAAGTGCAAATTGACAGAGAATAAGAGCCGAGCGGGGCCCGGCGTCCTGAGAAATGACTATTTGATTTTTGTGATGGAGTTGTCAGTGCATAAATATCAATGAGCCGTGCCATCTGAAGGGGACTCTATGGTTTAATGAGAGAGGTGAGATAGTAGGAGGCTGTAAATCCTGTGCTGTGTCACACGTGTGATTTCATGCAAGAGTTTGCGTGCATGCGTGCGTGTCTCTGTGTGTGTGTTACTGAGATAAGAACTCTTAAAAATCTAATCATGATGTGAAATACTTTGTAAGTTACTCTGTGACTTGCTGTGATTGAGAGAGCCTCCCACTCTAAATTGCTTTTGGCAAACACAGGACACTTTATCCACAGAGCACGTGTGAAGAATGTTCCTCCTAAGAGCGAGTGTCTAAAATGTTTTTAATATCTGTTGAATACAAAACTTATTTTTATCGTACATGAAAATATAAAATATGTTCATTCTGAGTAATGAGACTCACTCCAAAAATAACACAGTTAAAGTTGAGTTTATTTAAGCGTTTGCTTTCAGTCCAGGCTTTTCTGCATGAAGGTGGTTTGTGACTGTTTGCTAAAATGTTTCATAGCCTTGAGGAAGTGGAGTTTTTGGGACTTCTCAGAATGCAGTGCAACGAGGATGACCCATGAGAATATGGATAAATATCCTGTTTTAGTTCAGATCGTCACACATAGGATGCAGTGCTGTAGTGTTGCTCTACACAAATGTAACCATGCTGCACACCGTGTCTCTCTCAGGCTGGGTTGTGGGGTCTCTGGAGATCCTGGGCAGTCCTGCCAGCTTGGTGCGGAGCATCGGTAACGGCGTATCCGACTTTTTCCGCCTCCCATATGAGGGTTTGACACGTGGGCCTGGAGCCTTTGTCAGTGGAGTGTCCAGAGGGACCACCTCCTTCGTCAAACATATTTCGAAAGGTAACATAAATGCTCAGTCTTTGTTCTATTTCTTTATTTTATTTGTGGACTCAAGGATGGAAGAGTTTCCATGTGAGTCTCACACAAGACTTACAACACAACAATTGTAGACTATAGAGCATCAGATTAAGTTATCTCATGGAGTTATGGCATTTCTCCCGTGTGATAAATAGCATTTACAAACACAAGTTACGCAAAATGATGTGTTTCACGTTTGTTTTGTGGCAGACATGGTTCTAAAGCACAAGTCAACATTTAGTGTCCACCTCAACATTAAGCTGGGCATACACTGTGCAATTTTTTTCAGTCGCGTTATTCAGCTCC